GAAAAAACACCCCCCCCCCCCCCCCCAATAGTTATCACTTTCATAAAAATAACAGGTACTGAGCAACTGTCTAAATTCACTCCTAATAACTGATAGATGAGACGTGTCAAAGCTGTTTCCTTTTTTTTTGAATGATTCTTTATGTATAGGCTGATTAGCGCTCTCAGATGTTTTCATTAAAAATTATTCTATCAATGACTGTTTTGCAGAACATAATATTTTCTAAGTTATTGTGAACTATATTTGAACTATATTTTGTTCATTCTCTTCCTCTTTGTTATTTGAAAAATATATTTCATAGCACAACATTTAACTAAGTATGTGCCTTCCCCACCCCGCCCCCCCTTTTTTCCTCAAGATAGTACTAGAGAGTATGTCAGGTATATTCCTCAAAACTGACTCAGTATATACCTCTAGGGAGGACACAACACAGAAGCAAAATCACTGCCATTTACTGGGCTCATGAGGTAGTTTACCCTGTAACTTGCATTTTGAAGACTAATGTGGATCAATTGCAGTTGAAAAAAAAAATATGGCAAAGTTCAATAATGTGTTTCACTCATAACACTGAGTAAAAGATAAATAAGATCTATTTTAAGGGAACTTCTACAAATTTCGTTTTAGTGAGTTCATGCTAATTTTAAAGAATAACTTATGCTAGGATCTAATGAATTCTATTATGCCATCTCCCCTTCAGTTATATCTTTGGATTAAAGTAATGTTCATGAGAAGTGAGAATCTCAAACAGAGAATAATATAATCTGTTCCGTGAAATGAACACAGGAATGACCACTGTCATTATGCTTTCATATCTACCTTCATCATTATTTTCATATTCATATTTCAGTATTGCTATAAGCAACCACTTCATTCGGCACTCATTGTTTCTAGCGTTGTTTAAATACAGAGTAAGAGAGGTCACCTCCTTCCTCCAGGTGCTATAGTCCGATAGAAATATAAGCAAGTGGTTCATCAGTGAATTCTGATTGTGCAGTGATCAATATTTTCTTCCTAGTTTATTTGAAACGCTGTTAACTGGGCCCTCTTCCACACAGCTATGGCACTTGCAGTATGGTGAGTTGTTCACAAGTCTGTAAAAGAGCATTCCACCAGGAAAAGTGGTCTGGCATTACCTGATTAGAGCTATAATTTAATTTTCTAAGAGGCATTTTTCCATTTTCCCTCCATCATGACCCAGGCAGCATGGCACTGCCCCTTTCTGCAGCATGCACCTGGCTTCCCAGGTCACTAGCAGCAGGCGTGGGGATGGAGATGCTCACCTGGCTCTTGCCCTGCTCTTGGGGCAGGGTGCAGCCAGGCCACAGCCATGGTGCTCAAAAGTGCTGACTGTTCTGTAGGATGGAGCCACAGCAGACCTAATAATAGACAAAACTCAGCCTGAAATGTAAAGAGGACAAATGTCTGGTTTATTGCTTTTTCTTTTTGGCTATCCAGCTCCAATGCCCTTTCTAACCTGATTCTCTGAATAATGTTCCACTTACAAACCTGGAGTGTTTTTACTGTCTCCTATTTATTCTTTCAGGATTTGTGGATTTAACACTCCATGATCAGGTCCATCTTCTGGAATGTGCCTGGTTAGAGATACTGATGATTGGCTTAGTCTGGCGCTCCATGGAACACCCAGGAAAGCTTTTATTTGCACCTAACCTATTACTGGACAGGTCAGTCTGCATGTTGCTGTGAATTATTTAATTTAATGTATTTCTACTGCAATCATATTAATATTTATCTTGTAGTCATCTTGCTGATACTACATGACAGTACATCGTAAGTTAAACAGGGTGGTAGTAGGTGGGACTGGAAAAGGAACTCTCAAAAAACTACAAATGCTCTGGAATGTGATGCTGGTCATTTATTAGACAAGTAACACATGTGAAAGTTGCCTGCTGCTGGAAGTGCTTTCTTTCAAAGGCAGCAGAAAATCTCTCTTACAATCTGTACAAATCTGTACAAAAACAAGAATCTGTTTTTTTGCAAAACTAAATTAAATTAAAAATAAATACTGAAGCATAATCACTTTATTTCAGATAATTATTTCTGCTTACCTAAAATACTCCTAGTTACTCTTAGTTAGAATTGGTTTATCCAAGCAGCCAGACAAACTTTTGGAAGAAAATCCTGGAAGAGTCTCTTATTTGCAGAGAATACATTAAGGTGTTCCCCCCCCGCCCCGAAAACTAGAGTCAAATATGTAAAACACAAAGCTGTTTGCTGCCTTAAACCCCCCCCGCCCCGAAAACTAGAGTCAAATATGTAAAACACATACCTGTTTGCTGCCTTAAGGCTTTCTTAGTCAGTCTTGCTAATATGCTGTAGTTGTGTCTAAGTGAGAGAGAAAAATATGCATCTCTGCCATACAATATCCTGGATTTTAGCTGGCAGTCTTCACAAATAAAAGCAGGAAGATTGATAGATTTTTAAAATGTATTCTATTTACCTTAATGTAAACTCAAGTTCTCTTTTTACCCGGTCATGAAACATTTC